GCCGGGTTGCGCCGTCCTGGGGTGGGGCGGACAAAGGCAGGGGGTGGGAAGGGAACTGTTGCCTAGAAGCTGGGACACTGTATTTGGGAAAGAAGGATGTGCTCTGAAGATGGGAAGTAAGAAGCTGCCCCGGGAAGGACTGGGAGGCCCGTGTGTGAGGACAGACTGGGGGGGTTTTGCCACCCGAGGTGAAGGAAGGGAAAGCAGCACTGCCCCAGACCACAGGGGGGTGGGGCCTGTCCCCAGGACGTGCGCAGAGGCTCTTTTTAGCGTTCAGTTTTAAGTTCCTTCCTGCGTTGTAATTCCCTCTGTGAACCCTGGGAAAAGCTAGGTACCCACCCCTTCCTGGCTGAAGCCCTACTGCGGAGGTTTGAGAGGCCCCAGCTTCCCCAGACCCTGCCTCAGGTCCCTCTCAGAGGCCAGCAGGGCCCAGAAGCACTGTTCTCAGGGAGCACAGGGGTCCCACAGGGTCCTGGCCAGCAGTAAAGCATGTGGTCATAGAGCAAGGGCTTGGCTAGGAGTGGGTTTGAGACCACCCCGCTGGCTCACCCACTGCCACCCACTGCCAGATATGGCAGAGGGGAGTATTTTGGGGAGGGCGTTTGGCTAGGCCTTGCCCATGGGGGACGCCTAAACCCCAGAACACAGACACAAACAGCATCTCCCACAGCCCCACCTTCCAGGACTTGGTTCTGTGCCCTGAGACAGTCCAAAGCAGCCAAACCCCCTTCCACACTACTGAGTGCCATTCAGATATCTGAAGAGGGCACCGAGGTACCTGGGGGATTATCTACTCATGTGGCTGCAAAGCACTTCTAGAACGGCCGTTTTTCAAATGAGATTGTTTCAAGTCCTTCAAAACACCCGGTTCCCGTGTACTTGCCCCAGCAATCTCCAAAAGAGAGGTTCTCTGTCCTGAACAGAGATGGGGGTCTCCCAGCTCAAAGGCAGAGCAGACCCTTCAGTTTTTTGTATGTGGCTAAGAGCAATCACACTAAAGCAGCGGTTCTCCACCAGCATGAGGACATGCTCCAAGGGGACATTCGGTCCTGCCTGGAGACACAGCACTTGTCACGGTTGGGAGGGGGAGCTGCTGGCATCTAGTGGGTAGCGGCCAGGAATGCAGCTCAACACCGTACGACATGGGACAGCCCCCACAACAGGGGCTGATGGGCCCAAGATGTCCACAATGCTGACGCTGACATATCCTGCATTAGAGCTTTAGGTTCAAGCCACCAGGCCCTTTGCACATGCTACCAAAGCCTTGCCCTCCTGGTGGTAAGTTAGCTCCTAACCATGGTGAGCTGTCTGTCTCATTTGCTCCTTATTACATCCCCAGTCCCTAGTGCAACGCTGGAGCCATAATCAGACACAACAATAAATACTGGTTGCATAAATGAATTCCCCTCCCCTTCTGGGTTTTGGACTCCAGGCACATGTAAGACCTGTCTTTGATCTTAATCCATCACCTGGATGCACCCCGGAATTTCATGTTGCTTATCTCTGAAAGGGAACCAATGAAATAGTGTGGACCCCATCTCCCCAGCCCTGACCGACACACCCTTTACTTTCCTGTATTCATGTGGGTACTTCTATCCCATAATTACTCAGGGCCACCAGAATTTAGGTTTAAGCGGCTCTGGCCCTAGCGTTGAGGGCTTTAAGGGAGTTCTCTCTGATCTGGATGGAGATCTATCTCCCTCTAAGAAATAAAATATGAGAATAGGCAATAAGCAATCTGGGTGGGAGGCCTGGCTGGGTCCCAAGAACATGAAGTATTAGATCAGTTTCTTGAAATGGATCTCAAGGCCATTCTCCTTAGAGCTGCCCCTGAGGGGGTCACAGAAAGGGCAATAGACAGGCACATGGTGGCCTGTCTGGCAGTGAAGACGCTCCAGTCACATTTGCTTTACATGGATTCACGTGGGGAAACAGCAAGATGGGGAATTCTAGGAGCCAATCTGTCCTATCAAAACATATCCTGGGAGGGGCTGATATGGTCTATCAGTATCCCATCCTGGTAAAGTGCCAGGGGCCGCAAGCAGAGGTTACCCTGTGCCAACACTCACTTCCTTGGGTCACCAACTGTCCCCTAAGCAGCTGTCACCTCTGAGGCCCTGAATTATCAGTGAGATGATGCAATTCTATCACAGCGCAGTGGCTGACTGTAGGTGCAAACGCCGCTCTCAAGGGAGAACACAGGCTGGGTTTTTGGTGGTGTAACTTAAGAGGTGGCTGAGTTGCTTATGCGTGTGCAGCCAAGCCTGGAACACTTGGTCTGACCTCACCAAGTCGGCCCCATAAAAAGCAGCCTTCTTGGCCCTCTTCCCAGCTAGCCTGACATCACAGACTCCCACGGTGCTGCTGCTGTCACACCTGCCGGCACCCCCTGGTGGTCCGCTGCCCCCTCCTGATTGTGCAGGGCGGGACTGAGTCCTGGGGGCCCACGGGCTGCCAGGGACAGTGCCTGCCCACCCCCTCGCTTGGCCATCAGAGCTGTTTATACTTCCTTCCCCCTGAGCTTCAGTCTCTCTCCCTGCTCCCTCCCAGGTCTGAGGATGCTGAGCGGGCCTGTGACACCTGCTTTCCTCTGCGAGGCTCCATTGAGGTCTTTGGGCCAGCACCCGTTCAGCTAATGGTGGAAACCCTTTGGAACCAGCAGCGTTTTTAACCAGACCAAAACCTCTGAGCACAGGAACAAGTACCCTCTTCTAAGGAGGGTCCCCCTTGCCAGTTACTACAGGGCAGAACCACAGAGAGGAAGGCCCCGTTATAAGTCACGGCTACATAGCTGCATGGCGTTGCTTTCAGAATGACATGCCAGAGGCAGGGAGACAGCCTCCTGGATCTGCCTTAATAAGGAGATAAGAGTGATGGGAAGATGTTCTTTCAGCCACCATCATACTAATAAAGGAAGCGCCCAATATAGGAGACTCACCTCATGTGAGAAGCTTTACTGCCAGAGGTAGGAAGAATGTTCTCCCCTAAGGACGCTTTCTCTCACTACCTGCAGCCTCCCTTCTCTGCCTCTCCGCAGCAAGCAGACATTTAGCTTCCTTTCCTAGGGCCATGGGATTGCCAGTGACATGCTGGCTTCACACAGTCACCCCAGGGTAGTTACGGCTCAAATGATCCATCGGCTCCTGTCAGCGTGGCCTGGGCCAAAGGGGAGGGGCTGCTGCTGGCCTCCGTGCTGCTTTCCACCCAGCAGCCCCTGCCACGACTCTGCGCCCAAGGCCATGAAACCCACCCAGTCCCCTCGTCACCCAGGCTGTCCCTGGAGGATGACTTGAGTGGCTCGAGTCCCACTGTACCGCTTCTTTAGCACATGGCATTACTACAGGCAGATCCCTGCTGCTGCAGTTGGAGTTTTAGGGGGATCTGGGAGCACCCGGCAAAGGATGAAGTCTCTTCCCATTCCCACAAAGTTTCTAGCCATTCAAGCATCCAAGACTTCCTTGCTCTAAACCCCAATACCTCAGGTAGTTTGGGTCTCATACCTCAACAAGGCAGTGCTGGTGACATTGATGGGGACCCTGCCAGGCCAGTAAGCGACAGCCGGGACCCGGTGCCCTCCTTCCCAGGTGGTCTGCTTGGCTGGACTTCCCCCTGTTGGGAGGAAGAGAGGCAGTTGGTTCTCTGGGACAGCAGAGTGGTCCCAACAGGATGACAGAGAGACCATCTAAGAGTTTCCTATAATTCCAGAAAAGCAATGACTTCCTTTAGTAACCAGCTCCTTTTATTCACCTGGCTGATGTGTTTGTATTTCACTGGATTCAAACATATGTAAATAGTTGCCTCTGTCCCACCCTACAGAATCACATCACTTGATTTTCTTCATGACACTGTTAACACTTTACATTGCCCAGCTTGCTAATTCACTTGCTTACGGTGGACCTCCACACCATGAGATTTCATTTCTTGTGCACCCAAGACATTGTAGGTGCTTAACAAACATTTGTTGAATCAATGAATTTGTCTTCCTACTAACTGTAATGTGACTGTTTAGGATGGGGGAAAAAAAAAACCATTATTTGGAAAGAGAGACAGGCAGAAACGTCCCTGGCTGTTTGATCTGCCCAATGCCCAACCACTTATCTGGTATGGATTTTGTTGCTGTATTTTGGTCTGTTTTGCTTTGCTTGTCCTTGAATTAATAAGTTGTTCTGATGTTGTGGAGACAGTGTTAGTAATAGCTCCGACCTCTTGCCTCTTGAGGGGAGGTAAGAACAATATACGTGCAATCTATGAATTTCCACTTTGGTAATTAAAGGAGTTATTTCTGTAACCACTAAGTCAAAAATGACCACCAGTATAATGATGACCAGCAGGCTGGAAGAGATGAGGTCATGTTTCATGGAAACATCCTGAAACCATGCTGCACTGAATTAACCATGACTATCCCCACCACTCCCACACACACCCCCACCCCAATTCTAGCTGAGCCAAGGATCCCACTAAGTTAGCGTGCAGAAAGCCCTTCCAAGCCGACGCTGTATGTGGCTCACACATACCGCAGTCATGCAACCTCCCCGTGTTGCCTGGCGTGAATATGAAAGCAATGATGATGAGAAGGAAGCTGCAACAAGAGCAGGCTTCTGTCCTCTGCACTCACACTGCAGCAAACGGAACCTTTGATGTCCCTGGCCCAGCACGCCACACCGGAAATGCCCTGCATTCCTGGGATTTTCTCCTAACCGGCTTGGAGTCCCCCAAGTGTTCAAGTAAGAAACAAAACACAAAACAACTCACGTCCTATGGACTGTTTATGTTTAGGGGTGTGGGGCTCTCCGAACCAAGGAGAGCTGTGCGGGCTGAATGGGAAGCTCCTTGGCCCGGCCCAGGATTTCTCAAATACATTCTTCCCATTGAGAGCCACATCTCCCATAAACGCATACAGAGCCCACTCCCAATTATTCACGCACATGGAACAGAGAATCCAAAAGAGCAGCAAGCATAAAACACACTCCCACATGGCCTTGGAATGCATGACTTATGCTGCAGCTTAAGGCCAAAGAGCAGGAGAGGGGCATCCACACTGCGCATGCCGGGGCTCTGCAGATGATCCCCCCCGTGAGGAGCATCTGTGCGGAAGCTTTGGTGCATTCAAGTGGACAGGTGGGTGAAATTATGGAGCCTATGGAGTTACTTGTCCACATGAGGTGCACAAAATTCAGACTTACTTAGCTTTTGAGGCCAGATGCTATGGAAAGGTGAAGGCTTCCATTCCAAGAAATAAGCCATAGTTCAGATGATCCAACTAGAAGGCAAGAGCTGAGTGCCTGCACCGCAGTCGGCAGTGGGCACCAGGGGTGGCATGCAGGATTTGGTCTCTGCCCTCCAGGATGTTTCTAGAAGGGGGCAGAAGCCCCTGCCTAATAAATTTACTAATTGGTCTTTACCACTAGGGCTTCTGCTTGTTTGCCACAACCTTTTGTGATGTTGTTTCTCAGGCAATTGTCTTTTATTAGTTCGTTTTTCAGAGCAAAATATTTCAATATGTTTGCCTTATTTCAGCAGAGGCTTGAAAGCTGGAGGGATTAGGAGAAATTCAGCCAGTTACAAAACGTGTATACATCAACAAAGTGGACAGTCCACATGCAAAGAGTCAGAAATTAAGAGAAAGTGAGAAAAAGATTGGTTGAGAGAAGCCCCTGGGAGTGCCCACATGAGGGGCAATCCCCTTCCATGCTGCCCGCACTGCGGTTCTGGCTTTAACAGGAAGATACAATTATATATTCCAGCCATGCCCACAGACCTCGCACAGTAAAGGAATTTATCTTAAAAGAGTCTAAAGTGTGGGTAAGCAATTATAAAAAAAAGTGTCCTCCACAGCATGGACACCACCTGGTTCCAAATCCCAGTATCTCATTGGCCCGGCCAGAGGTGGACAAACTTGAAAATATCCAACAGCATTCCCGGGGCTGCAGCCTGACTGTCAGAAACATCTAACAGTGTTTGTGGTGGTTTATCTGCATCAGGGAAGGCTGAGTCCCAGGACAGCTGCCCCCAGTCCCCCAAGACTCTTCAGTGATCCTTGCTTCTACAAAGGAAAAGTTATTTCGAGTTAAACATAATAATAATTGCAGCAATAATATCTCATATTTATTGAACCCTTCCTAAGCACCAAGTTGAGTACTCAGCATAATGCTAAGTGCTTCCCTGCATGATCTCATCTAATCCTTATGACAACCTTCCGGGCTGGGCACTTATTATTCTCATTTTTTAGATGAAGAAACCGAAGTTCAGAGAGGTTAAGTAATTCACCCAAAGTCACACAGTTGGCAAATACTACAGTCAGGATGTGAATCCAGGTCTAACTACACAGCCAGCATCCTCACCCATTTAACCTTCTAAGACGTTGGCCCCCACCCATCCCTGAATGCCTAGTAGAATCACTAGGGGAGCTTTTAAAAAATTCCCATGCCAAGGTCCCTTTCCCAGAAATTGTGATTTAATTAGGGATGGGACCTGGACGCCAATAACTTCTAAAGCTCTCCTGGTGATTTAATGTGGAGAAGGCCTATTCCAGGGTAAGGGAAAAGAGGGCAAGGGGCAAGACCAGGAAGTGCACTCAATGCATTTCAAAACGAAATGTAACTTTTCTGCTTTTTAAGTCCTCGTCTGACATTGCCCTCACCTTTATACCTTTATGCCACAGGATCATAAATGTCAACCTATCAGTTACAGTAAGAACAACAGATAAGCCCATAAATTAAACATCTATGCACTTTTTTATTTCAAAAGCTGTTTCTTAGCTTAGATAAACCTTCATACTTGGATCAGTGGCACCAGAACATTAAAAGCGTTGGTTGCATTTGACTTTCTGCTGAGAAATGCATGTCTTATGGTCATGAGAATGCATCTCAATGCACTTGTGGTTAGTTATGACTCTAATTAAGGCAGACCCTCTTACTTACAGCAATAAATATTTAGCCTCAGCAACCAAAATATAAACAGAACCATGATTCATGAATTTGCTTGCTTTTCCTTCCCTGGCTACGGAAATGAAGTGGCATTCCACAAGGCATGAAAACAGCGCGGGCAAGGAAGCCTCACCACGGCCCGCACATTGTACAGCAGTCTTTCTCAGAAGGGATGGAACTGCTGTGTTTCACTGAGTCAGAAAGCAATGTAGCTCATAAAGAGGTCTGTAAATTTCCCAGTACAGGTGAACCACCGGGACAACCCCCGAGATTCTGATTTTATATGTCTCAGGTGGGGCTCTGATTCTAGATGATTCTGATGCCAATGGTCTGAGGACCAGACCTGGAGAGATATTAGCAAGGTAACTAGGAGGACTCAGCTCCAGCCCAGGGCCTCCCCTTCTGATCAGCGGGCCTTGGGTCGAATTCTTTCCCTTTCTCAGACTCAGTCTCAGCTGCTGATACTTTTCTCATGGTGTTGTGAGAAAAATTACATAAGATAATGTATATAAAGTTCTAAGCAGGTCCTTTGGCATCGTGCCTGCCATGGAAGTGCCCGCCAAATGCAAAACAAAATGCAAAAGCAGGTAACAAACCCAAATCACCTACAGATAACAGCAGAAACTGCAGCCCGGCAACTCATATGCAGAATTCCACCTGCTGACAGTTTGGCTTGGCATAAATAGTATTTTTTTAACTAATTTTGAACATCATGAGACAGCCCTCTCCCAGTTTACTGAATGCCTCACACTGTCCACAATTGACAAAAATAAGCATTTGTTCATTCATATCACCTGCCTGGCCAACAAAGGCGTTTTGCTTTTGTGACTAAGGTGGGATGTGTCCGTTCTGAGTAGTATAATTCTATAACCGTCTAAGAAAAGCAGGCTTCATTTCTAAATATAAGTACAGGACCTTGCCAAGGATGCCCACAGTTTACTAGTTTTCTAGAAACACAGGGCAGGCAGGCCTCTGTTGGGACCAAGGACTCTGGCTGCCCTGGGGTGGCTCTGAGTGTGGGGATGGGGATATTCCAAACTGGGTGGCCAATGGCCCAGAAGGACTTACATTTCCACTTCCACGGGGGCCCCACCAGCTGGCCCTGCCCCCAGTGAAGGCCAACAGCCAGTATCCCTTGTTCCTGGCTCCCTCACCCAGCCCCACCTTTGACCTTTCTCCACCCCACCCTTTACCCCAAACTGGACAGAAGGCCCAGGATACAGAGCCAGCCTCCCAGTGGGGAAGATTATGCAACAACCTGATAGCATCGAATTACAAACGCCAAGGTCTTCTAGAAGCTGAGGATGCCAAATTCAACAGACTGTTTCCTCATCATCAAGGGGGAGGAAGGAACAGTTCTGCTCTTCAAATAAAACAAGAAAAGGTTTTCCAGACAGAGGAGCAGTCAGTTAGGGGACAAACAAGGTGTTGGTTCTGTCCCAGGTAGGAAATAGGTCTGGGGTAGAGCTGGGGCCGTGGGTTCAGCATCAGTGGGGCATGCACCTCATGTCCACTTGGTTTGGGAGAAGGCAGGGCTGCCCAGCTTTGCCCCTGCCCCCCAGTCCCGCTTCCCCTCAGCCCTGTAGGGCGCAGGCCAAGCCATGAAGCATCCTCACTCCAGCACGGGGTGAAAAGATGACTCCAGGAGACGCTGCCTCATCCCATCAGCTGAGCAAGGCGGCATGGCCAGGAAAGGAAAGGGAAGACAAGGAGGGGGGCCTGGGGGCCCTGGGAACAGGGGAAGGCAGCGCGTGGCCTGACGTAGCAGGCTGGCTGCCGGGAGAAAGAAGCAGGATTCTGGGTACTGTTTGTCCTACTCTGTTGCGAAAACATTGACTGTCTTCTCTCTTTCATCTGTTCTCGAGACTGGGCCCCTTTACAGCAGGACATGCAGGCATCCCACTGAAGAGGAACCTGGGTGAGGAGGAGCACATGGTCCAGAGGGACCCTCAGCTCCCGGGTCGTGACCCCCGAGCCCCCTCGCCACACCCTTTCCATGCAGGGCTCGGCCTCACTTCCCAGAACGCCCAGCACTTTCTGGGCAGAGAGGTCGGAGAAGGCTGTGGAATAGCTGACAGGAAGCTGGTTTGGAGAATGAGGAAGGCGAAGTGTTTACCCCTAGGCAAAGTTTGCTCACCTTCTCCTGGACAAAAAAGAAAATGGCATTTAGCTCCTGCCCTGCCGAGAGTGAGTGCTGTGTCCCACAGATACAACATCAAGCCACACGTTTGTGCAAGGCATCGCCCAAGAAACGAGCATTATCTTGAATGACTGAAATACAGCTTCAGAGCAGTTTCCCAAGACAGAGGCCCAGAACGCGTGTAAAGTTACCCATATGTCATTAAGTCACCCATGTATTTTAGTAGCAAAGTCTTTAACAGGGCATTTTCTGCTCCCCTTCCAATTCTTCTCTTTGTGGGGTACCCTCATTTGTCCTCTTGGATGAAGAAATGGAGCCTTTTGTGGGGTTGCTGCATGCAAGGCTGAATGCCTCCCAGGCAACAGCCCCGTAGATTCTTCCAGAAGTCCAGCTTGGTGCTAGCAGCCCACCTCACAGAGGAGGACACAGGGCTTCAAGGGGCAAGGGGCCCCTGGACACCAATTCCTGAACTGAGTGGAGATTCAAGCCCCACCTGGGCCTCCGAAGCCATTAGCTCTTTCCGCACATCCGTGCTGCCTCCCACAGGTTTAGAAAGACTCAGACTGTCACAGGCCTAAGTCCTTCTCCTTAACAACCAAGGGGTCCCGAGAAAGCAGAGAGGATTTTCCAGACGGCTGAGCAGGCATGAGTGATGGCAGTCATGTGGCTGAGGAACGAGCCAGTGATGGTCACCAGTGTGCCCCTCCCCAGCTCGGCCTCAGTTTCTTCACTGGCCGACAGGGTGGGTGGGGTAAAGATCGCGGAGGTCTCCCCCAGCCCTGGCTTTCTTTCAATTCTGTGACTTGCTCCTCTCATCTCTCCTCCGTGGCCCAGCAGAATGAGGCTCGGCCTTGCCTCCTGTTGCTCTCAGCCCCACTGACATCAGAGGGGTCTTTGAAAATTGAGCTATGTGCTGGGGAAGTGGGAAACGGGGAGCAAGTGTATAGAATATATGGGGTTTTCTTCTGGGGTGATGAAAATGCCCAGAGACTCGGCAGAGGGCACAGTCATACAACATTGTGAACGTGCTCAAGGCCACTGAGTTGTGCAAGCTAAATGGTTAATTTCATGTTTCAGGAATCTCGGCTCAATTTGAAAAATTGAATAATGCCACTCTCACTCTTAAAACCCTTCCATGAGTCCACATTTCTTCAGAATTAAGGCCAAAATCCTTCCCCCCAAGAAAAGCCCTTTGAACGCTGGTCCCGGCTCTACCTCTGGCCCTGCCTCGCTGCTTCCGAGAGCTCTGGACGCAGGACAGCTGGGCGGGCCCTCCGCTCTGGTTTCCCATCCCTACCAGGCCACCCTGAGCTCCCTCCCCTGCAAACCTCTAGCTGTCTCCTAGTCATTCTGCAAAACTCCAGCCATTCAGGGAAGCCTTCCTGTCCCCCTCCCATGTGGGTGAGATGCCCTTGTGTCCCCTCTGTCATGGAGTTCTTAGCTGGTATTATAACCACTTGCTGAAGTATTTGCTGACAGCCCTGTTCAATAGCACTTCCCGGGATGATAGAAATGTTCTATATGTACAGTATCTCATATGGTAGTCACTAGCCACTTGTGGCTTCTGAGTCCCTGAAGTGTGGCTAGTGTGACTAAAGACCTGAATTTTAATTTAATTTTAATAGTCACATGTGGTTAGTGCCTGGCAAGTATATGGGACAGTGTAGCTCTAGACAGGTGGTTCTCAAATTTTAACCTGCATTAAAATCACCGGAAGGACTCGTTACAATATGGATCGCCAGGGTCCATGCCTAGGTCTGGAGTGAGCCCCTAGCATTTGCATGGCTAACAAGTTCTCAGGCCATGCTAATGCTGCTGGTCTTGGGACCACACCTCCATAACCACTTCTCTAGATCTGCAAGTTCTAGATTCGGATGACTCTAGACTCATACAGTCCAAATGTGGATATTCTAGATTGGTGCTTCTCAAAGTGTGGTCCGGGGACCAGCCACATCAGCGTCACCTAGGAGCTTGTTAGAAATGCAACATCACCATCACCTCCCAAGCTTACTGAGTCACGGCTGCAGTTCAACGGGCTCCCCGGGGGGCTGTCTGCCCATTAAGGTCTGAAAAACATGCTCTAGACTGTTATTTCTTAAGTCCAGGAGGCTTTTTTAAAAAATGTTCCTGGGACATAATAGGTGTTCAACAAATGCCTACAGGAGGAAGGAAGAAGAGATGGAGGCTGCTCAGCTAGTAAATGTCTTTCTTGCAGGACACAGTTCTTTCCTCGAAGAATAGGGTCGCAGTCCACATCCTTAAACCTGATTCACTATTTCAAAACTGCCTCATAAGGAAGGAGGAGTCAAGATAAGGCAGGAGATCAGACATCATCTTATTCCCACAGAGCAGTCATTTACTGACAGATCCTTACCCCCCATCCGCGGTCTCCAGGCCTTCTCGATTTTTACCCTGGAGAGTTTTGATTCCAGGCTCTTCCAGGATTTCCAACTGAGTATTGATGATGGTACCCTGGCCTAAGGGTATTCCGGGTACAGAGAGGAGGAATTATAATCAGCTAATGCAAAAAACCACTCCTGGCTTACACCATTTCTCTAGGCTGTTATTGTAGGTAACAGATACACTGCCATCCACCACCAGGCTTAACATCTTTTCCTGGTCCAACTCTTCAAGATCCAGAACAAAAACGCAGCATTCTTGAACTGGAGAGGTCAAAGAGCAATACATGTAGAGGAAAACACTGACACGCTGAGAGATGAAATAGTCGGGTCGTGGAGCAGGTCAGAGGGAGGGAGCACCCACTGCTGATTCTGAACCAAATATCCAGGCACAAGACTTGGCCATAGCCTGGCAGCCACTCCCTCGTAAAGTTCTCAAAAGATCTGATCCGAGGGACACCAGCTTAAAGTTGACAAATAAAAATGAATGATCACACTTCTTTCTCACCACCAGCCACCAGATGCATGTATGTTCCTATTTCTAGGTCACTACAAATATTCTGCCAGACTAATAAGAAAGGGAGTTTGTGTCCTCAGACTGGGAGACAAGCCGGGACCATAGCTCAGGAGCTGGACAGCAGGGAAATCCCAGCCCCAGGGTTCATCTCCCTACCCGCCCCTGAACCTATGAAATTTTAATTTTATATTAAAAACCATAAACATTTTAATTATATAGGACACAAATAATACCAGCTTGTTACAGAAAAAAAAAAAGTGGGAAGAAAGTCACACTTTCATCTTCCCTCCCCTATCCAGAGGAAATTACTGCTAAACTTCTGTTATTTTTTGTTACCTCTCTCAGGTTTTTCTGAGAAAAATGGTTATTTTATATAATAAAATCATACTTTACATGTTGTTTTGTATCCTGCTTTAGTCACTGAAAAGTATTTAATGTAAATGTTTCCAGATCTATTATATGCATCATTTTAGTGGTTCCTTAGTATTTCTCTGAGTGCATTTACCACGATTGCCTCAGGCACTCCCCTCTGGCTGGACATGGGTTATGTCCAACTATATTTGTAAAAACCTACTGCAGTCAGCAACCTCTTACATACATCATTGTGCAGTTGGCTAATTATTTCTTTAAGACACATTCTTAGAGGAGGAATTGATGCGTAAGCAGGCATGCATATTTTTTAAGCCTTTGTTCCATATTGCCTAATTGTCCCCCGCATGGCTGCTCTCTGAGAAAATGAAGTCTGTGCAAATAAGCGCTAAGCTGGGGGCCAGAGGTGTTCATAACTAGAGAGCAACAGCACGGTGTAGCAAGGAGATGACCACCTTTAACCTCGGTAGCAAGGCTGGCTCCGTCCTCATGAACCGTGGGACATTGGGCAAGTTACTGAGCCTCCCGGAGTCTCTTTTCTTCATCTGTGAATGGAGTGATAACTACCTACCTTTCACTATTGTAAGGTTTAGAAATACTGGATCTGAACACCTTGTGTATTTGCACCCTGACTATTTCTCGATGAATGAAATGAACTGATGTTTGGATAGATGGAGGGATGACTTCTTGGAAAAGAGAGGGGAAAGAGTGAGGACAGCAGGACAAAAAGCAAAGGCAGAGCCCACGTGTGGGAAGGTCCATGGGCTGGCTTGTGGGGGCTATGCCCCCGAGGGAGAACAAAGGAGAAGAGCGGGTCCAGGCCCAACAGGCTCTCCACCCCAGTTTACGTCTTCTCTGTTTGCTGGTGGTTGGTGACCTCCCTGTCTGTGTTATTCAGTGATGGCCCGAGGACTGGGTATGAGTGGGTCCTCCTTGGGGGAAACCCCACGCCCCGGCCAGGGCTCAGCAACCCCAGTGGGGTGCACCACGCCCAGCCACGCGCCCTACCTCGATGAGTTTGCCACAATCCAGTGTAGGGACCCACGCTACCCGCCAGCTTGCACTTCTGAGCCCACGGACCGTTGTCTCCTAGAAACCAGAAGAAGTAACATGCAATGGTCAACAGGCACATGGGCACTTTCACCAGCTCGCATTCTGTGTTAGGTTCTATGTTAGCTCAGTTCTGCAGATGAGGAACAGGGCGCAGAGAGGTGGAAACTTTCCCAATAGCAATAGATAGATTCAGATCCAGGTCTCTACCTGACCTGAAAGCAGGGCTTTTAATGAGGGTTTCTGCCCTCATTCCAGGGACCAGCAGTGCCTGCGTGGGCCCTCTCTGCAGCTCACTAGCTCAGCTCCACTCAGCCCAAAGGTGACCTGGTGACCAGTAGCAACCAGTCTTTGGACTGGGAGGTTGGTGAGGAGGGGATCTTAAACCCGTCCAAGGACCACATAGGTTCACGATGTCCAAGTCATTCATTAACAATTACGAGCAGTACCTGGATGGCCCTAATCACAAGGGGCCAGCAGGGCACCTGCTCTGTACACGCAAACCTCTCCAGGGGCCGAGCCTTAGAGGGCCTGCTCAGCACTCAAGCCAACAATACTAGCAGGGCACCAAGTTCAAAGTAAGCCCCCTGCCCCGTTAAAGAGGATCCCGTGGCCAGGCTCTGCCCCTCACGGAGCATGAACAGGGTTATCCATTAGGTCGCAGTCAGGCTGGCCGGGCTCTTACTATCTCACCTGTAAACCAGAGGAATGTGTTTTCTTTTGCTGTGCGGTCAACTTTGTCCTTGATTTGGCCCACCAAGCTGTCCATCTCCCGGAGACCTGCACCGTACAGCCTCTGGCCCCGTGGGTGTGCGGATCGCTGGGTCCTGGGCAAGGGCACATGCATGTGGGCCAGGCCCACATAGAGCAGGAAGGACCTTCCACTGGTGCTGAAATGGAAGACCCCAGAGGTAACTCTCCACAAGCCTCTCTGGGCTTGTCCAGTGTCTCTGCAGTTCTCCCTTGCCTCAGAGAAAAGCCCCAGAACACCTGCCCCACAGGCTCAGGAAGTGCACGTGTCTACAACCTTCTAAGGAAATGTGGGGAGAGTCTGGTCAGCCACTTAAAAGCTAAGAACAATTACACTAATCATTGCTGTCCTTTAACATTTACTGAGAGCTTATTAAATGTGACTCACATTGTCTAAATTCACCCTTGTAATAACCCCCAAGTTCCCTTTTACAGATGAAGCATTGGAGGCTTAGGGAAACTAAAGGATTTGTCCAAGGTTATGCGATGAGTAAGTAACAGGCTGGATTCAGACTCACATCTGGCTGAGAGCAAAGCACTTGCTCATAACTGTTGCATTCTAAAGTCCGGTGCAAACATATTTTTAAATTTTATCTGCTGTTTTGTAGCATCCAGGCCATCATGTCTGTTCCCAGCCCTGGCCCTTTCTAAGAGATGAATGGATGACTCAGGTTGACCACCGGGAATTCCAAAGATGCACATGATCATCCGGGAACATCTAGATCAAGGCCTGTTGGGGGCCCAGGCAGCTGGCTGCCCCTCTTCTAACCCTGAAGATTTCCCTGGAAGGCATGAAGGGAGCATGGGTGGCCTCTGCTTCCTGTTTGTCCCCAACCTCAATTCCCAGGCAACCAACAGGATTGAGGGCAGACAGCTGCAGAACCACATCCTTCCCCTCCTGAAGCTTCAGGGACCCTCATGGAGCCCCCTCCCATACCTATAGGAGGGGGGCATCTTTCAGAGGATGCAGTTAAGGCAAGGTGGTGTTCAGTTAAGTTCATAGAGTGGAGATAGAAGCATGGCTCTTTTTATACCAGCTCACCCACAGATTCGACTTCCAAATTAGCCTAAGCCTTTATAGCTAACCCTGATTTACAGCACCTCACATCCAGTTCTCTGAGTCTTACCAGCCTCAGCTCTACATCAAACTACCCCCTGGAGAGTCCCCTGCCTCCCAACTCCCGGGGTCCCGACTGTGCTACCCTCTGTTCTCTTTGACAGGCATAAAATCCAGGACACAAGTCCCAAGACAGGGTCTCACTTTCCCTATTTTTATCGACAGTTCCTCTGCAACATTTCTAGAGTTGTGTTGTCCAATGCAGTAGCCATAAGTCATGTATGGCTATTTAGGTTTCAATTACTGAAAATTAAGTAAAATTAAGAATTCAGTGTCTCACATGCTACAACTCAGACGAGGCTTAAACACCTTATGTTACATGCAATAAGTCCAGTCACCAAAGGACAAATCTTGTATGGTTCCACTTACAGGGGGTACCTACAGCAGTCAACTTCATAAAGACAGAAAGTTGAATGGTGGGTGGCCAGGGACTGGAGGGAAGGGAAAATGGGGATTTGGTGTTTAATGAGTACAGAGTTTCAGTTTGGGATGATGAAAAAAATTCTAGAGATGGATGGTGGTGATGGTTGCAGAACAATATGAATATACTTAAAGCCACAGAACTGTGCACTTGAAGAGTAAATTTTACGTTATGCATATTTTACCTATATACATATATATAAATTTAGTGTCCCAGTTGCCCTAACCACGTCAGAATACTCAATAGCCATGCCACAGGTGACTAGAGACTACCATCTTGGAGAGCACAGGTAGAGAACAGTTTCGTCCTTGCAGAGTTCTGGAGAGCCCTGACTGTGTGTCTGTTTCCCACTCTCCCAAGGACAATCATGTACAGCATGTGTCCCGCACATGGACATCCTGCTGGGAGAGTGAATAGGTGCTTAATTCCAGCCCCCAATCCACTGGCCAAACTAGGCATCCTGGCACAGATCAGCGCCCCCCTAGAGGGGAGCCTTTTTCTAATTTGCAGGTAGATTCCATATCACAGCAGCTTGCTGGATAGAGCAGGCTCACATGTCAGGAATGTTGCAGTCACTTGTTAAACACGGCCATCATGAACGTCCAAATGATACAGACTTACAATGAACTACATGATATTTTTAAAAAGATAATCAATTCTCATGATTTATCACATCCCAATTATTCTACTAGCTTTATTATCATCCATGCTCTTGAGGCTATTTTACATCTGTTGCATCTGTGTAGTGGAAATACCACTTGACCGTGTGTTACTGCCCATCTTTTTCCAGCTCCACATTCAGTGACATCTCATTGGTGGCCCAAAATTATCTACAGTGACAGTATTTATACCAGAGAAATGGGCAGACACTAGAAGTCAGGGCTTTTATCTCAGAGTGCCGGTTGTTATACATTTACTAACTCAGCGCCCACTACGGGCCAGAGCTGGGGAGGTGGGAGAGTGGGCAGGCATTGCTCACATGTCCCTTCCCTATCATTATCATGCAAACCCTCTCCATCACCCAAGTCTCACTAGCATCCTGGGCCAGAAGCTGAAGAGTCATGCAGTAATGAGGGATGGCAAGTGGACGGACATAAAGTGCAGGCTTTGGAACCTGCATCCAAGTGCCTGGGATTTTTATTTCGTGCTTGCGTGACCTGGACAACCAACTTACCCTCTGTATCTATGCAACGGAGACAATCATACCTCCCCAGTAAAGTTGTTGTGATTATGAACTGCCCAAAATATTAATAAATAGTAGTCTTTTTATTAATAATAACAACACATGGTACCCAGGGTACCTCCTTCCCTGCATCCTGATGCCATGCTAGAACTCACAGAGGTTGCATCTTGCAGAAACCACATAAACAAGGCTCCCTGGGACTGTTTATCCCCCCAGCCACCCCTTCATTATGTTCCTGTGCTCAGGAGAAAATAGGGTGGAGGAGATCTGGTGCTTTAAAAAAAAAGCAGATGACAAGACAGTCTAATTCCATTTTTGTAAATATATATATATATAATTGTGTGTTATATATATGTAAATAAATATATATATATATTTATATACCAGCACAGAATGAGGCCACAAGAAATGCCCAAATGTATCAGAACGGGTTCTCTCTGGAGCGAGGCATTTAGGGATATTTTTTTTCTGTTTGCTTACCTGCGTTTTCAGAGACTTCCAAAGGGAATACATATTATTTGTGTGGCAAAATGAGTGAAATGGGGAGCAGAAAGGAAAAAAAGAAAGGAGAATGTTAGAGGAAGTAAGATTCAGGAGAGGGAGGCGCAGAAGAGAGGGCCAGGCAGGGCGTGGAGATGCGCGGAAGACGGAGGCCTGGGACAGCCGAGCCCAGAGAAGACCACTTGATCTGGGATGGAAAACGGCAGGTGAGGGGCACACTCATCTCATGGGGGGTCCCAAGTGGGCGCCTGGCCAGAGAGAGCCAGGCCTGTGGGTGGAGGTGGGGAGAGTGGCCGCTTGCTGCTGGTCCCCAGCTCTGGGCCCTCTCGGCTCTCCTGCTGTGCCCCGCTGGGGTGGAGTGGACGAGGGGCGTCTCTGGGACGGTCACCAGCAATAGCCACTCATCCCCACACCTCATCACCACCCGCTGAGCCTTGGTGGAACAGAAAACCTTCTCCAAGCTAAACTTGATCTGATGGTCCCCCGTTTCGATGCCCACTAGGCTCCAAGCAGCCTCTGGGTCAGATCAAACCCCCCAGCCCAGCCCCAGAGGCCGCAACATGCTGGGCCCCTCCAACCTTACCTTCATCCCCCTCAGAGGCACTTTCCATGTGCCAGCTCCCCGAGCCCCCACCTCCCCTGCCCCCCTCTTCCAGCAGTTCCCGTCCACAGTCTCCTCTCTGCATCTTGCCTAAAAACATCTAACCAATTCTTAAGATCCAGCTCGAAAGCCACCAACACCGTTCCTGTGCTCCCCGCTTCCCCAGTACCCCCTCCTGATGAACACTGGTGACACACCCTGCATTAAAGCCCGCCGTTCGCATATCGGTTTCCTGGTAGCCTGGGCGCTACTCAAAAGGACAGAACTCATTCATGCTTGCATCCTTAGCACAACATGGGCACATCTTTGGGCTAGAAAAAGTAACTCACTCATTATTCACTCATTTGATGAATATTTATTAAGCTGAAACTAGGCCCCAGGCACTGGGGATAGAGCAATGAATATGACAGATATGATTCCCACCTTCTTGGAGCTTAACATCTAACAGGGAACAGGAGAGAGAAAAATGCAACAAAAATATTAATCAGGTAATTATTTACAGATTTAGTAGGAGTGGTGGAGAAGAAATACACACATAGGGTGCTGTGGCGGTTGGTGGGGGTTAATAGCAGGGATGCAGGGGCACGGGACCCCTGAGAGAAGGAGGCCTGCGGGTCAAGGGGCTGCAGGTGGGCTGCACTCGTGGCCACTGGAGGCGGACAGAACCACGCTAGGAGAGGCCGCAGGAGGAGCTAGAAGGTCCCGGTCCAGAGCTATTCCTGAGTGTGTTCATTTCCCACCAGAAAGTGAATTCATCAGAGCTTGCTAACAGGAGAAAGAAGAAAGACGGGAACAGGGGGTGACAATGGTCTTGGAGCTTAATCTGGGGTCCTGATGCAGGTGGCATGGTGATGGGTACGAGGTGGGCCACATGGGGGGAAGAGGAGAAGGAAGACTTTGACCAGCAGGGGGCGAGCAACGCGGGGGCAGGGGTCCCGTCAAGTAGAACAGGGAATCAGGCTGACGCAGGGCGGAGGCGGGGCTGCGGCTTGTGCACCGTCTGGGCAGCTCCAGGGCCTAGTTCAGAATGATGGATGCCCTGAAATACCGACGGTGCAGTCTGATTTCAAATGCCCTAAGCTGCGGTTCTCTCTGGAGCGAGGCCCGATACACGCCTCCTTGTCAAGCCCTGTGTCTCCTATTTAGGCTTGATGCACAGCCCCAGCCCCGTTAAGGAGCAGGGCACTGGCTAGCTCTGTGACCCAGGCACCCATGCCACCTGCTCTCTCCCTGTTTGCAATTCGGAGCTGTGCCTGCTGCTTAAAAACCTCAAATCAAGGATTAGCTTTCATCATCACTGCTGGATAAGGGTCTAAATTCAAGTAAAGACCCTGAAAACTTTCAAAGAATTCCTAAGGGGGCCTCTGATGGGGTGCTGGGGGAGACAGGAAGGCACACTCTAGGGACCCCCGGCAGCCTTGACCAGCAGGTCCAGTTGAAGGAGGGGCCTCTCCCTGAGGATGGAGCCCAGGGAGGAGGAGGGACCGCAGATCTGGGTCCCTGACGCTGAGGGTCTGAAAGTCACAGATGACTTGGCAAGTCAAATCCTAAAGGAATCAACACCCGGGGGGTTAGTTTCCGCGAAGTTCAAAGGCAATGGGGATTCATGGGACTTTTTTACTTAATAACTCATTCATAAATTAACAAGCTCATCACCTTCTTTCTATGATAAGGAGATTGTTTGTTGATCGGTTTGTCTTTTAACTAACTAATTAACTGGTGGCTGAACAGCACCGTGCCCACTTCAGAGCATCATGCTGTCTCCAGTCCCCAGCCGGCTGCCACCCACCCCGCTCCAAGCACACCTGGCTGTTCCAGGCAGGAAGGGCTGAGCAGCCACCACGCATCCCCCTGTCAGAGGGCACGGAGACCTAACACCACCTCGAGGCTCCCGGGAGCAGAGAAGCACTCAGCTCTACAGATAGGAGAGGAGGCTTTGCTCTTTTCTGATCAGCCATCCGGGAAAAAGCCGGTGTTTCTCAGGAAACCCTGGAAAACTGGTAAGACGTGATTTCTGAAGCCCCAAGGGGCCGCTCTTGAGATCTAGACCATAAATAGGTTTTATTATCAGGATAACATCATAAATGGACTGGCTGCATTGCTGCCTCCACCGCCACTGGTGCCCTTTTCTCTAGAAAAGTCCACGTGGTTGACCAAGGGGCTTGGGGGGATTCTCACACATTCTAGGAGCTGATGGGATTGGTCAGGTGGAGTCCATTTTTAACGCTGCACAGAATAAGCAGGCAGGCAGGCTTAGGCTAAGGCCGTGGGGAGCATCACAGGCCTCCTTGGAGCCACTCCACTTTCCTTGAGGAGTTCGCACTTTGGGAGAGAGATGAGGCGAGCACACAAGGGCTCATGGGGGGCAGCACAGGGGCAGGTGGAGGGGTTGGGTCAAGGCCTGCGGTGGCAGGAGCGGGGTGACTGGGTGTGTGCACGTATGGGTACACATGCTTGCACCCCACGGTCTAGGTCTGTGCCCCCAAGGGCAGTTTGCCTTATTTGAGAGTTGTCTGTTGTTCCAGAAATATCTACTTTCTGAGGAGCAAACCAGCAGCCCTCACACACACACACAGCTGGATTTTGCTTTTTGTTATTTTTAATTAGTCATTTTGAACATATAAAGATCGGGAGATTTCACACAAGGACAGGGTATCCTGTCTCTCTTATGACATGGAAAGATCTGACAACCCAGGTTCCCACTCCCACGAAGCAGCAAGGCAGCGGGAGCTAAATAAATAACAGCAGGACCCCTGTTCACCACACACCCCACCACTCCCCAGTGCCTTACACTCAGCCTGCTTCCCTCTTTCAGGGAAAGTGCTGGAATTTGTAACCCTTGTGTGTTAAACTGAATAATGGCCCCCAAAGAGATCCAGGATCTAATCCCTGCAACCTGTGGGTGTTACTTTTTATGGCAAAAGGGTCTTTGCAGATGCAATTAAATTAAGCATCTTTAGATAGGGAGATCATCTTGGATTCACCTGGTAGACCCTAAATGTATCCATGAGCATCCTTCTTAGAGGAAAACAGAGGGACACTTCACTACAGAAGAGAAGGCAAAGAGACAACGGAAGCAGAGATCAGAAAGGTGATAAGCTAAGCAAGGCCAGCAGCGGCCAGCAGCTGGAAAAGGCAAGAATCGATGCTCCCCAGGAGCCTCCAGAAGGAAACAGCCCTGCTGACACCTTGATCTTAGCCCGTAAGACTCATTTTGGTTGTTTGGCCCCCAGCTCTGAGGGAGAATAAAGTGCTATTGTTTTAGCCAACATGTCAGTGGTAAGTTTGTTACAGCAACAATGAGAAACACATACCCTGCCAACCGATGGATTCAACACATCCCCTGAGTGCCCACAATGCAGTGGACAGGCCCTGCTCTCAAGGTGCCTTGTAGGAGAGGACAAAATGATAATGGCAAAAGAGCAGGGACCATAGTAAGTGCCCAGGAACACAGGAGGTTCCAGGGAGGCTGTTTCCCAGTTTCATGTACACAACACATGCATGTATGCATCTTCATTAGGCAGTGGAACTCCACCACAGCTTTGAGGAGTGGTGAGACCAGGGGACGTGGTGGGTGGGCGTAGGGTGGGGGCCAGGGCACTCCTTGCCTTGCATGCTGGATGAACTGGGTAGCTTTCTCGGCATACTTCTGGGCAAGGCTGCTCAGGTTCACGGGCTGCTCCACGATGTTGAGGTTTTCGTAGAGAGGAAGGGCCACATCAGAGTAACAATCCCTCTCAAGGTTCCTGTGTGGAAACCACAGATGGTAGAGTATTCATTCCCTCAACCTAAGTAGTTATGGAGGAGAACAAAATGCTTTAATGCAGCAAAATACATAAATGCAAAATATTTAATACCTGGGCCCCAAATGATTTTTCCAGCCTGCCATCTCTTCCAAGTGTAAAATCAACATAATACCTTCTTCCATTCCCTCTAGTAGATGTTTATGCCCCTTGGACAAGCCCAGCTACTCTGTAAAGCTCACAAAGATTTTGTGAGCTAGGGACATTATTACTCTCATTTCGCTGGGAGAGAAACTGAGGTTTAAACAAACTAAATTACTCCAGTCCCATAGCCAGTCAATAGCTCCATCCCTGGCTTTTCCCCCTTAACTCCCCCTAAATGATGACTTCTGTCTATGGGGTATAATGCTTGCTATTTTCATAGTCAATAACTGGACTTCATGTGACACCTATCTGACTATAGGAGAGAAGGCTGGGAACAATTTTAAAATTTCAAACCATGTTCGGAATATTTGGAGAAACTTTAGCAATTGGAAAAAGTGGGGGCCAAGCCAATGACAGCTCCGGAACAAACTCAGCTCTTGGTCTTGCAGATTGGAATGAATCTGACACGTGATGCCCCACGAGTGTGGCTGAGTCCTGATCTTGGGCAAGCTACCTAAGCTTTCAGAGCTGGACATTCCTCATCTGAAGTCCATGCGCCCGGACAGAGGTGTTAGGAGAACCAGACAAGATAACAAATGGTTGGCGCGTCACACACGGCTCAGGCCCTCTGTCCTGGGTGCCACAGAGAATCAGGAGAAAGGCTGAGGACAACAGACACAGCAGGGGTACTGGGCAGCCTCTCAGGGAGAAATTGCCTCGTGGTGCTGGAAAGCATTTGCAAAAGAAATGAAAACTCCCATCAAACCTCCAGGCACATGTGAAAGCTTAGGAGACCAGGTCAGACCAGCGCTTTCAAGAGAGGAAAGAGTTATCCCAGTCTGGGACATCACAATGCTAATTTGCTCCAATCATTTGTGTCCAATGTTTCAGCTTTTCATGATCTCATTGCAATTCCACCATCATTTACATCCTGCCTCTTTACTCCCCTAAGCCAACCCTTTTTTCTATTTAACATGAATGGAAAAGGGACTGGCTGATATATGTCATACCATGATATAGCCAGATGTGAACACAGGGGTGACCCCAGGCCACAGTTGGTAAGGAAGGCATGAGATGCTCTACTTCACTTCTCACACTGCAACGTGCGTACGAATCACCTGGCATCTTGTTAAAATGTAGATCTTGGGGTGGGTTCTGAATTCCTGCATTTCTAACAAACACCACTGGCCCCCTCATTGCTTGTCCAGCGACCACACTGAGCATGGTAGGATGTACAGCACGTGGGGCTCCAGACTCAGAGAGGCCCAGACTAGAATCTGTCCCTACGTCTGCCAGCTGCAGCTCGAGCTGGGCATCAAGGTAAGCTTCCAGACCGTAAGATCAGGATAAACACCTGCCTCACACAGTGATCATGTGGACTGCTGATAAGAAGACAGAATGTGTACAACATGATTTCTCAATATGCGACCACATTATATTAACAATTATGTTATTAATGAGCCAGCTGAGACTTGCCTTCGCCAAGTGGCTCAGATACCTGTAACCTTAGAAATAACTACACTGCACAGTCTGACCAACCAGAGCACCTGGTTTGTGTTGCTTTATTGCCCAAATAAGGTCTATTACCTTTTTCTGATAATAAATGCATTGCAAACTCATTACAGAATATTTGGAAAATAAGTAAGAAAAAAACATGAAAACCCCTTAGTCCCACAAACAGAATGAACTGCCTTTGAGTCTCTCTCAACAGGATAAAGGTAAGAGACACAGAGGTAGTTACGATCGCACTGCTCATGATTTGCCTCCTGCCTTTTTCATTTATATCATGAGCAATTTCCCATTTCATTGAGTGTTTTTAAAACATCCTGTTGAGTGTATGCATTTCAGAACAGAATGCTGGCCTACTTGTTGGGGACGGGGGATGACGACTGTAAGGGGTCCTATGCACTTCTTTCTCTCTCTATATATATACATCCCTCCTGTGTCCAGTGTCTGGGCCAGGTGAGTGGTCCAGCAGGGGCCTCGAGTCCCACCTGTGTGAGACTGTGACAATACCAGGCTCTCCCCAGGTACGCTAAACAAACCAAGGAACCCGGAAAATTCCAGTGAATTCGTTGACCTCTCCTTTGCTAAAAGTTCATTGCACTCCTTGCAAATAATGCATTTGAATTTGCACTGAACGTACTCTTTTTCACTGTCTTAACTGTCCCCTGTCAACCTCTCTTATTAACCACAGATGGACCACATCCTTAAGGCTTCACCTTGCTCTAGAGCCTATAGCCAATGTCTTGGATGGGATTACCTTGACGGTCTATCTTCCCGGGGACACGGTGGACAAGGCGGGTGGTTGTAGCCTGGAGTGTCAGTACAGCCCATATCGTGGCTGTATGGGATTCCATAGTAGTAATGAAAACCTGGAAGAGAAGCAACTGGTTACACTCCCCCCAACTCCCACCCCTGGCTTCTGCTGTTATGAGCCCGCATTCTCATACCCAGGACAAAAATTTAATTTTCCATGATTTAATACGGTAGTGCTATGGTGTATGTAATTAAAAGAGGATTTGATTAATATCCCTTTGTGGTATGCAAAGAAAACACTTTGCTGTGTTCTAGCAGTTAAGATTAGATTTACAAAATATCTAGTGATTAGAATTAACCTGGAGTGGGAGGAAGTAGAGAGAATTATCGTATACCTACTATCCCAGTGCAGTTTTGGACACATTCAGCAAGTATTTGTTGAATACCTACCACATACATGATACATTAGGGGATAAAAGAATAAATTCTGCCCTTAAGAGACTCCCCATCTGAAGGGGAGGTAAGACATACAGACTAAGCTGCAAAAGGTTGGGGGTGAAGCCATGAGCTGACAGGGAACCAGGACAGTGCCCATGAGGAGGTACAAGAAGAAGGAGGGAACAGGTGTGACCTCGAAGATGGACAGTGAGAAACCTAAGAGCATCCACGTAGGAGGCCTTCAGGTCCAGGAACAGCAAATATACAGCAGGTGCGCTCACTCGCCAAAATTTCCATGGCCGGCACCACAAACCCAAAACGGCAACACTTCCTGCTGAGCAGGACCCAGTCTCGGGATACCCCTAGCACAGGACTACAGGCATGTATTACTCAAGGTGTTAAAACCCTGAGCTAAAGTCCTCATTTGTCAGAGGAGAAAATTGAAGATGAGGGAGGGAAAGTAAGCCCTGTAGTATATATAACCTTCAGTTGGTGGAAAATCCAGTTCTTCGTCTCCATCTGTCATTCTTCAAAAATCACATGTGTTAGATGCCCAACTGAGAAACAAGGCACAAAGTAGGAGAGGAGGTGGAAAGGGCAGCAGAGGAGAGGCAGGAAATGGAGAGGATGTCCTCTGACAAGGCTGCTGACCAGTAGGAGCCAGTGGCTGAAGGCTGGTACTAGGCCAATTCTCTGAAAGCCATTCTCCAAATGCAAAACCCTGCAAATGCATCCCTTTCCCCGAGTATAGGGGAGAGCGCTGCAACCCTTCCCATGGAGCAGAAGAGGGGAGACGGCTGTAAAATCCTCAGAGAACCACCTTTAAGGAAAAGGCCATCATTTGCTTATACAATGACAGGAGGGGGAGAGAAACAGATGCCAGGCAGAGACAGAGGAGAAGCCACAAAAGCTGAGATAATGATAAACTGCTTTTCAGAGAAAGTCCATGAATTCCCTCAGGAAATGGAAGAAGCAGGTCAGGGAGAGAACAGTGGCAGAAACCTCAACTTTTTAAAAACAAGGGATAATTCAATGAATTGGACGTTCAGAGAACTCCTCCATCGGCAAACTGATTTTCAGAGAATTGGCTCCGGCAGTTTGATCCTGGCCTATTCCCGAAGGCCAGAGAGCCAGAAGTCTGAGGCTGTAAACAGTTGCACAAGAAGCCGAGAGGGAGCATCTCCTGTGTGAGTTCATGGCCTGCTTCCCGGAACACACCTGACGATTTTTACTTTTTACCACACTAGACATGTCTGGACCTCACGGGGGCAAACAATCCCTGAGATGTGCAGAACCGGGTCAGGGATGCCGCCGACATGCTTGCTTTAGGGGAGCCAGAGGGCAGCCAGGCACCAACGAGGGGAGCCAGGAAAGGTGCCAGGCAAGAAGGATGTGAGACCAAGGTGAGCCCTGGGCACCCCAAATGCACCCAAGCAACCCTGTGGGTGCCCCCATCCTCACTTAGGAGACACGTTCCCCAGAGGCAAAAGGCTTACATGTTAATGGAATCCTTTTACACAGAGATCTTTGTTTCCCAGGTAACAAATTCCCCAAAGAATTCTTACCACGGAAGTTGGGGTGATAAGAGCCATGGTGCCCAAGATGCCATTTGCCTGCAGGAAAACAAGAGAGAGACTTTCAGGAGTCCCTGCGGAGGCTCCCGGGCCCGGTGGGGAGCTGATCACACACTCAGTTCTCCATCAGTGTTGCCCTTTACTGAGGACAAGCGAAGAGAGGCTGCAAACGCTTGGAGGAAAGCCAAGCCTTGCTCGCTGAGACGGAGAGGGAGCGCGCAGGGAGACAGAAGCAAGGGAGGATGACTCAGGACCCGCGCAGGAAAGCACAAAGCGGAAGCGGAACCAGGCCTTTACCGGGGGCCCAGAGAAGCCAGCAGGCTGTTTCTGCCCCTCAATGGGGTTCCAGTGCTCACAGCAACCCCACCTAGCCCCCTGCGCCCTCCCTCTGCACTCCGGCACCGGGCCCCGCAATGGAGCCAGGTGGCCCGGAGTACAGATGCATGTCCCAGATGGGTCTCACAGAGGCCCAGTTCCCACCTGTTTCATAATCTCCTCTCTGGCCACCATCAACAGCCTGCAGGGGGCTGCATGAGAGACCACCTCCCCACCGCAGTTCCAGTGCCGAGACACCCCCCCGGCTGGCAAACGAGGAAACTCAGCCGCACAGCTGCTCCGTTCCTGGTCAGGGGGAATCACTGGACAATGTGCGGCAAGAGCTCTGACTCGTGTCCTGCTAATTCCGCTCTGAGGAGCAAAGACCCCAGGAACTGGCCCGCAAGACAAGGGGGCAAAGAAAGAATGTGGCACAAAGAGACAAACAGTGGCAGCAGTGAACAACACAAAGGAGAGAAACAAACAGGCAATCACAGGAGTGGGGCTAAGTAAGCCATTTTATGTGGCTTCAATAAAATACTACCAAACTATATTTAAAAAAAAAAAAAAAAAAAAAAAAATAAAAAAAAAAAAAAAAAAGAAAAAAAATTAAAAGAAAAAAATTAATCCCTTTTTGCAACTGCTCTGCGGGTTTGAAAAAATGTAATGTAGAGGCAAATGGGTTAAGCGTTATGTGGAATGCTTGGATTAGGCATTACATGGAAATATAAAAATTGTATTAAAAATTTGAAATTATTTCTAAAATTATTACAATTATAAATATGATAGTAGTATTGCAGGGAAATATAAAATAATAGGAAAGGGAAAAAGCAGGACCAAGTGGTATGTATACAACTAGGTAAAAACATACTAGCATGGGCCAAGATAAGGAGCAAAATATGAGTGGTAGAAATGGACTTGATATTCCTTCGGTGGGTTTGTTCTCTTCCTGTAAGTATGCTAATAGCAAATTCATAATCTCAACGAGTGGATGTGCTTAAATATCCTCTCAGCCATGCAAAAGGTGCATGAATTAGTGGGGAGGGGACGGGCCGAGCAGTTACTTCTGGGATCAGTTGCTTACATGGAGTTCAAAGGCATGGAGTAGGGGGCAAGGGAGATCAAACCCAGTTCAAGAACACACCCCACTGTTGCAGCATGAAGTTTTAGAGTCAGGGAGCCCCGGGGACCTGCTGTGAACATGCCATGGATGCACTTAATGGACTAGGAAGGGAGCCAGCCCATCCTGAGAGCTCCATGATTATTAACCTCAGGGCATGGAAAGAAGGGGAAAGAAAGGAGCAAAGGGTTGGACCTTAACTGGTACCTACTCCTACCAATGGGACTTGCCCTCCCAGGGCAATGAATGCCTCACACATTTGACCTTCTTTAAAACTACGTCAGGAATCTTGACACAGAGGAGGAAGCCAGGCCAACATCAGAAACGCCAGCGCCCTACAAGTGAACACAAGAGGGGTGGGCCCCAGTCACACGGTGAGGTCCCTGGCTGCCACTGTCCTGTTGAGCACACCCCCCCTTCTACTTCACATATGCTGGAGGGAGGCAGGAGTCCCGCTGGACCCAGCTCTTGGGGAGTCAGAATAACAAGCACAGGCAGCCTGAGGAGGCTGCTGGGATCTGGGGTCACCTGGGCCTTTGGAGGGGAGACCAGCAGTGAAGCAGAGCCTGGAAGCAAGGTTGGGCCAGACCTGCCCATCTAGGGCTGGCCTCCACCCACTCCAGGCTAGGCAACACCAAACAAGTTTCTTCATCTGTCCAAAACTGTTTTCTCACCTAGACAATGGGGGAAATCACATCTAAGAAGGCACCAATGCAAACGAACGCTTACCCCAATGTCTGACACATGGTAAGTGCTGAGTGAGAGGTGCCTACAGACATTTAAAAGGAAAGGAAGCTGTTGGCCATTGTGGCAGATGCTGCTGGCTGCCTCCCTTACACCCATGTCCCCACTTCTCCTGCTAATAGAACTTCAGTTATGTTCAGAGGGCTGGGGACCTGTGCCCAGGTCCACATCAATCATTGTCATCTTGACCCCAGTTTCCCAGCCTTCCTTGCAGTGAGGGGGCCAAATAAATCCACAGATAAGTAAGTGCATTTCTGCTGGCATGGAGGAGGCTTGTCTGAGAAAAGAGTTGCTTTCCCGATAAATGTGAACAAATGAGACTGGTGCCACCTCCCCCTTTCTCCTTCCTTGAAGCTAAATTATGATGAAGGGTACTGAAGCTGCTATATTGCAACTGTGAGGCAACAGGCGTGAGGACAAAGCCAACACAGTAAGGACAGCAGAGCAGAAAGACAGAAACTATTTCCGGAGTGGCTGAGCCAATGAAAGCAATCACTGCCCTCTCATTTGTTACAATGGGAGGAAAGGAGCTCCATGTTGGTTTAGTCCACTGTCCGGTCTTTTCAATCACTTGCAGCCAAGAGCCTTCCTAACTTAGACAGCAAGAGATGACGGAAGCAGCGGACGTGCAGAAGTGGGCGCAGCAGGTGGGGGCCGCACAAACACAAAACAGCCACCCCAGAAAGGCAGTGGAAGACGGGGCTCCAGGCTGTGGGGTTCCAGGGTCACCTATCATGCCGGTGACGTAGCCAGCTTGCTGCAGCACCTCGGCCAAGGTGGTCTCGTTGAGCGGAAGGCCTCCCACAGAGGAGACGGCAAAGTTGTGCGTGACTCCATTGCGAAGGCCTAGTCGGCCGGTGAGGAGGGCGGCCCTGGATGGGGAGCAGGTGGAGGCAGCTGCATGGAAATCCACAAACCTGCGCAGAAAGGAAAGTGAGCACAGCCCTCCAATTACAGTGTCAGGGGAAAAAGTTCAAAGATCACCCAGTTGCGGAACAGGTAAGGAAAATGAAGCTCAGAGAGGTAGTGCAATGAATTCAAGGTCACACAGCTAATTCCAGTTGATTTAACCCAATATATTTAGTCAATCATATTTATAGGAAGATTCCATATTTCAAAGTCACCTACTCAATAAAATTTCATTGTAACTCCCAAATCCATGCTCATGGCTTTTAAGTAGTCATGCAGACACAGACCTTCAAAAACATGCTTCTCCCCAGCTGTGGTTGAATAGGGCAACCCTCTTGTTTTGGCTTGCATATTTCAAGCAAGTGTCCTCCTTTTCAGTCTACTTAGTGGAATAGTTTTTGCATTTTTATTCTTTCTGTTGGTGATATCACTGTTTAAAATGCCCCAAGCATAATGCTGAAGGGCTGGCTAGTATTCTACAGGCAAGAAGGCTGTCATGTACTTTATGGCGAAAATACATGTGTTACACAAGCTTCATTCAGGAATGAAGTGCTGTTGGCCCTGAGGTCAGTGCAAATGAATCTATAATCTATATATTAGGTAAGATGTCCTTAAGTAGAAGCACACACAAAACAAGGGTCCGTACTGATCAGCTGACAAAAATGCTGAAGCCAGAGGCTTGCAGGACCCTAGCCCTGTGTTTGCCCCTGTGGGTCGGTATTCCTTAAGTCAAGGTTCATGGTAAACGGATAGAACATAACCACGGCTGCTAACAAAAACTGACTGTAGCTATACCGTGTTACTGTGTGCCAAGCCCTTTTTTTTTTTTTTAAGACACGATGGAGAAATATAAAGTCTAGCTACTGTCCTACCCTCAAGCATAGTGATTAAATTTAATGTGACTAATAATGGGGCAAGCTGAACTTGAGTGTCTCTTCATGGGAGAAGTTCGTAACATCAGGGATTCTTGCCATTTAAACATTTAGCCTGAATCTCATCAGACCTTTGGACCTAATTTCCAGGTTATGGGAAATATAGCTAAGAACAAATTAAATGACACCACAGGAAATAATGTAACAAACCAGTATCTGGACATTCTACTAGACAAGATGTCTGGACTCCTCAAAACGGCAATATCCGAGGAAAAATATGTCTCTAAAGAGTCATAACCAGATGTCATACATGATCCTTGATGGGATCCCAGTTCAACCAAGCTAACAACACATTTGGGGCTAATTACAGAGATTTAATACAGCTTCACATAAGACGTGAGGGGATTATTGCTCATTTTCTTGACTGTAGCCATGTGGAAGAATGTTTTTATTCTTTTTTTTTCTTCCAGTTTTATTGAGATACAATTGACATATAACACTATTAGTTGAGGGTGTACAACACAATGATTTGATACATGTATATATTGGGAAATGATCAACACAATAAGTTTTTAAAAAGTTATGTTTTCTCTTTGTGATGATAATTTTTAAGACCTATTCTCTTAGCAACCTTTCAAGCATACAATACAATATTGTTAAATATAGTCACCATGCTGTACGTTAGCTCCCCAGGACTTACTTATCTTATAAGTGGACGTTGGTACCTTTAGACCCCCTTCATCCACTTTTCTCAACTGCCCACCCACCACCTCTGGCAATCACCAATCTGTTCTCTGCTTCTACGAAGTCAGTGTTTTTTTCAGATTCCACATGTAAGTGAAACCGTAAAATATTTGTCTTTCTCTGTCTGATTTCTTTTACTTGGCACACTGCCTTCAAGGACTGTCCATGTTGTCACAAAAGGCAATATTTCCTTTTTTATGGGTGAGTAATATTCCATTGTCTCTGTATTGCATTAAGAATATGTTTTCATTACATTCAGGAAGTTTTATTATAAGAGATGCATGCTATAGTGTTTATAATAAAAGAACATGATTCTGCACCCTTCAAATGATTCAAGAAAAAAATCACCTTATTTACAGATAGAGCAAATATAAGCAAAAGGGCAAAATGCTAATAGTTGATGATTCTTTCCATTTTCCTTTATGTTTGAGTTTTTTAATATTGAAAAGGTTAAAAAGGATGAGAGTAGAGAATGAACAGGGTAGAGAATGAGCAGGGCAGTGATGAGGTGGGTGGCCAGGGGCCATGCTGCAAACAGGAGGACTGACTTGAAGCAGAGGAAGGCGTCTCAGAAGACAGGTGTCCAGGCTACCCAGGAGTCCAGTGGACAAGCTCAGCCACCACCCCGGGCAAAGGGAAACCTGAGGTCAGGGAGGATAAGGGATTGGCCTACAGCCACAGGGTCGACTGGCGAAAGCAGGTCTCCCTACCTCTCCTCTCCACTCCCCTTCCCACACATCCTCAACAGCAGCCCTGGGGGACTTTAAAGTGCTCTCTGACCACCACTTAACATGCTAAAATGATTGCTGGGTGTGATGCGAGCCCCATCTTTCGGGCTTCTCCGTGTCCCCTGCCCCAGGCTAGCATGAGTGTTCTTTCAGTTCTGCAACTGCCAGCCACCAGCTAGCTCCTTCCCACTAGCCCTCCATGGCCACTCTCTGCTCGGCATGCCCTGCCACATCTTAATGTGGGCTTCCCCTTGCCCTTCTACCCAGGTCCCCCCCAAGGGGCCTCCTCTCTTCTCCCCTAATCAGGCACCCTAGGTGCACCCTGATCCCAGCCTGGAGTGACCTCGGTTATGATTGTGTCCCATCATTCTGTGTCTTCCTCCCTCTGTGAGAGGGGAGGCTTTGCCCAAGTGGCTCACTGCTTAATCTGCAGTTCCTAAAACCAGCTCTATAAATAGAGGAAGCAGAGGATGGAAGGAGAGGGGAGGGGACGAACGGGGAGAAGGATGGGAGGGGAAGAAGGGGTCCTTCTTCCCCAACAACTTCATTGAAAATGTAACTAAACCCTGAAATAACCATTCCTGGGAAGGTGGCAGTGTGGAGTCGGGGGTAGGGGTGGGGAGCAGTGGTTCCCCTGAGCACAGTCACCAAAATCAGCATCTTTCTAATAGTTTTAAAGATGGCCTGCTAACATGGAAGTTGCATACATATCAAGTGTCATGAAGAGATGTGACATCAAGGGACCTGTGTGAGAGCGAGAGGACAAGGTCACAGAGGGCACTGTGTTTGAATGCTCCCTTCCCACCTGCAGGGGGGCCTGGGTCACCACCAGCCACATACCTTACGGCCTCAGGGCACAGCCATAAGCCCAGGCCTGAGCATGGTGGCTCCCAGACCCCCTGATAACAGCTCTGGACAGGCCACTTCTCCAGGCAACTGGCCAGGACAGGGCTTGCTCTAGGACCAAGACCAGTCTGGGGACATTTCCTTGTTGTCTGTGCCTCACAGAGGTCAGCCTGGGGAAGGAAAATGAGGAAACACACACAAATCCCTGCTTCTCTGCACAAGTAATTCTGGCAGAAGACTAGGGACAGAGGAAGCTAAAACATAGTGTTTAAAGAGTCTTCACCTGCAGCTTCTTCCTGGACACCAGGACCGCCTGGACACCATAGCAAATCCTGAGTCTCTACTGCCTCCCCTCCACTCAGAGATGCCCTACAGAGCTATGCCCAGCCTGCAAGAGCAAGCAGGGCCCTGGGCACCCTGCCTTTCACCACGACCTTGGCATTTGTAGAGGTGATGGCCCTGGAACCAGGCAATGAGGTCTGCAAAATAACACAGTGGATTCCTTTCTTTTTGTTTCTTTCCTTTTCTCTCTCCTTTTTAAATACTACACTCAAGCCTAGAGATTACAAGGCAAAACTTTAAAAATCTTACAAATAGATGACCATATGGCCCAGCAATTCCACTCCCAAGAATGGGATTACCCAAAAGCATTGAAATCAGGTACTCAAACAAATACTTAGACTAGCACATTCACAGCAGCATTATTCACAACCGCCAGACCGGCACAGATGTCTCATCGGTGGAAGAATGGATAAACAAAATGCAGTAACTCCTCACAGTGGAATATTATTCACCCACAAAAAGGAATGGATCACTGATACATGCTACAACATGGATGGACCTCAAAAAAGTTACACGAGTCAAGGAAACTAGACACTAAAGCCCACATATTATGAGATTCCATTTATATGAAACACCCAATCCACAGAGACAGAAAATCATGGGTGGTTGCCAGGGACTAGAGGGAGTGGGGAATGAGAGAAACTGCTTAATGGGTTTCTTGTTAGGGTGATGGAAATGTTTGGAAATGAGATAGGGATGTACAACCTTATGAATGTACTAAATGTCACTAAGTAGTTCATTTTAAAATGGCTAAGTTTCTGTCATGTGAATTTCACCTCAGTTGTAAAAACAAATAAAATCTGACAGATGGAGAAGAAAATGCCCGATGGGAATCTCTCAGGAAGGAGACAGGCCCAGTAAGCTGGGTGTCAGCTCCGGGCGTCTTCAGAAGAGAAATTACTCATTTATAGCTAAGGGGGTGATTCATCATTTCATTCATTTGTTCCAAAAATATTGATTAAGCCACAGCAAGGGGTAAATCTGTAACAGATTCTAAGGAAGCAAAGAAACAGGATCTGTCTTCAATGATCTTACAGTTTGCTTTTTGAACAAAAGTCCTATGAGGTCATTTCCATTTTACTACTAATGTTTATAATTTATAACCCCTTACTTAGCACCAACTATGGGCCCTTACATGTGCTAACTCATTAAGTCCTCACTGCAGCCCTAGGATGTGCTAGTGTAAGGATTCCATTACAGATGAGAAAATTGAGACAGAGGACACACTGCTGGACAGGGTGGAGTCAGTTTGCACCCAGGCATTTTGCACCATGCCCGCTCCCAGCCATGGCACTGTATGGCCAGGGACCCAAGAGCACATCTTTACACTGGGACACGTCCAAATCCAGATTCTACATCCGTGCCATTTAACCACACTGCCTCCAGGAAGTCCAGAGCTGATCTGGAAAGTTGAAGGGAAGAGGCCAGGAGACTTACTCATGCCAGTCTTGGGAGGAAAACCCGAAGAGATAGGGT